TGCAAATGTCAGTCTGAAGGGGAAAAAAAAAAGTGACCACTGCCGGAGAGACCATCACCACATACACAGTAATGCAAATGTCAGTCTGAAGGAGAAAAAAAAAAGTGACCACTGCCGGACCACAGAGACCATAAAGTTAGAAGAGAAAGGAGTGGGGAAGCATGTGAAGTCTTTGTTGTCCATCCATTTTCAATAGCGCTTGTCCTCGTGAGGCTCAAGGGTGTGAATGGATGATAAAACGGGGAAAGTAGACACTAGACTTCGGGCTGAGGTTTCTTGGCTCCGTTGGCTTTCTTGCTTGAACCCAGCAACTGGAACGTAGTTCTTTTGACTGAATCACTCCATCCCTTTTGTGTACGGATTATCCTGCAGGGTGTGGGCTCGTTGGAGCCCATCACAGATGACCCGAGGCGAAAGGCCCCGGGCACACCCCGGGCTAGTGAACAAGAGCCCTCTTTCTTTTATATTGCGTAGTTTCACAAATATTAGCTTGGAGAAACGGATGCCAATCAAATGATCTCAATCCTCAGTGATCCATGTTGTTCATTTGCAGAACCAATCATTTACGGTACACTCTTTAATTCGAATCTTACGTTTAAATTGTTTGAAAACCTTTTCCCCACCCCCACATCTGAAGTTGTGCCGTTTCAGGTCCCGCCTGTTGACTTTTCATCGCGGGAGCTACAGAGGAGAGCGACACGGGGAAGTCATCGGATAGGGGGGCGAGTTTGGTGCACACCGCTGTGCTTTAGCAGGTAAACTGGGGTCTAAGGTGCGCACTCAGCCGCCTATGATACCAACCACACGGATGGAAAGAACTTTGATGTTCAACCCTCACAGAGTTTTACAACGGAGGCTGAGAGTAGAGACAGATTGGCAGTTTATATTATAATTCGACAGCGGTCCGAGGTGACGATCAAACACGCCAAAAGTAATCTGCCCATCAGCGCTTCAGAGTAGGGACCAACAGCGGGCAGGCAACAGGTAGAGTTTTAAGGAAAAAAATAAATAAATTTAAAAAAAAAATCAAGCATCCTCATGAAGATGTCCAGAGAGGAGCAAAGCTCGTCAGATGTTGAGCTCAGTCCCGGCGTGTCGGACGACAGCCGCTCCCGATCACCGGGTCAGTCATCCGGTGCCGGCGGGGACGAGTCGCCCCTCCATAGGCAACAGCTGCTGGCGGTTCTGGATGACGGCGCCAGGGGCCAGCCCCTTGGTAAATCCGACGACGAGGACGAGCGCTTCCCGGCGGGGATCCGTAAGGCGGTCAGTCAGGTGCTCAACTGCTACGACTGGACACTGGTGCCCATGCCCGTGCGTGTCAACAATGGCAACAAGAGCAAGCCGCACGTCAAGAGACCGATGAACGCCTTCATGGTGTGGGCGCAGGCGGCGCGTAGGAAACTGGCCGATCAACACCCGCACCTGCACAACGCCGAGCTCAGCAAGACCCTGGGGAAGCTTTGGAGGTGAGGAGGGGGGGGGGGGAACTCTCGTCGTCACCGATCATATCTTGAACGTTCTGTTTCATCAAAAGGCCTGCGAAGGTTCGGTTTGGGCTCTTGGGGCGGCCCCAGAGTGAAAGAGAATGGATCATGTGGTAGGACGTTTATGGATGGAAAGTTGAAAGTACATTTGCAGAGTGCGCTCCACATTCTCGGAGGGAAGTTTGGCTTCTACAGGTCGGGACCGTAAACCTTTCGCATTGAGTCCAAACAGTCAAAAATGATCTGGTGTTGTTCCAGAGGCGCATCTATCGGCTACTTATTGGCAATGCATCAAAAAATTGCATTCCTTTTATTTAAAACTGCTTTTTGTACACCCCCCCCCAATTTTTTTTTTTTTTTTTTTCATCAACCGAGAATGAGAATGAATGCTTTATTACCCTCACATGAACCTCTTGAATCCTGGAAGGTTTAACATCCGTTTGACCATGCGCTAAGCGTTTGGAAAATAATTAGATGAAGAGCAGCCCTTTTGTTTGAGCTTTACTGGTTAATTGGCAGATGCAGTGAAGGGTCGGGGGTTTCTCATAATTTTTCTGACAGCAGTACTTTACAAGGAGCCGTTGTATCCATTTCTTGGGTTCTTGCAGTATAACATTCGATAGCACCGAGCTCTGACTTCATACGCCGTTTATTGAACGCCACGAATTTCTTTATTCGCATCGAGATGGCCTTAAGTAACCGCTTTCTACAAACGAGATCCACAACCTTTTTTTCCCTCCCCCCTCTCCCCTCCTTCATCCAAGGCTTCTTAATGAGAGCGATAAGCGACCCTTCATCGAAGAGGCAGAGAGGTTGAGAAAGCAGCACAAGAAGGACTACCCCGACTACAAATACCAGCCTCGACGCCGCAAGAACGGAAAGACCGGTTCCGGGTCAGGGAGTGACGCGGAAGGCCATTTGGAGGGTGAGATCAGGCATAGACAATCCATCTACAAGGGCCTCCATCTGGATGTGGTCCACACTGGGGGAGCTGGGTTCCCTCTGGCAGATGAGCATCACCCTCATGCTGCAGGTGGGCCACCGGCTCCCTTGACCCACCTCACCAGTACGCCCTTGACAATATTCGTGGTTGAGAATGCGTATCTTGTTGCAGACCGACTCGGTGGCGAAAGCGGGGCGGCCTTATAACGTGGTCTCCTCTTCTGTGTGCTCAGGTCACGGCCACAGTCCTCCGACACCACCCACCACACCCAAGACAGAACTTCAGTCTGGGAGGGCGGGGGAAGGAAAGAGGGAGGCTTTGGGCCACGGGGTCTCCCGTGGCCCAATGGAAGCGGAGGGTAGTTCAGGTGCGGCAGGGTCCGGAAAGCCTCACATCGACTTTGGCAATGTGGACGTCGGTGAGATAAGCAACGACGTGATGGCCACCATGGAGCCTTTTGATGTCAATGAGTTTGACCAGTACCTTCCCCCTAATGGCCATCCAGGGATCGGGCAGAGTGCCGGGTCAGGAGCAGCGACGCCCATAACTACCGCATCTCAATACACCTACGGCATCTCCTCCGCTCTGGCGGCGGCCAGCGGACACTCCGCCGCCTGGCTCTCCAAGCAGCCGCCGCCGCCGCAACACCACCACCACGGCTCCCCCGTGAGCTCAGACACGTCCAAGGCCCAGATCAAGAGCGAGGCCGGCGGCGCCGGCGCTCACTTTTCAGAGTTGGCCACGGCCGGTTCCCACGTCACTTACAGCCCTCTAAGCCTCCCTCACTACAGCGCCGCCTTCCCGTCACTGGCAGCCAGGGCTCAATTTGCCGAGTACGCCGACCAGCAGGGCTCCGGGTCGTATTATGCTCACTCCAGCCAGGCGACGGGCTTGTACTCTGCCTTCTCTTACATGGGGCCCACCCAGAGGCCCCTGTACACCGCAATCGGCGACCCGTCCGGTGTGTCGCAGTCGCACAGCCCCACGCACTGGGAGCAGCCCGTCTACACCACGCTGTCGCGGCCATGACAGATAACGAGACCAGAGGGCGCTGGTGCCGGTCCAGCCCCCACGCCCGACCCGACGAGCAGCAGTGGTTTTGGTGAAAGCGGTCTGGGCGGAGGGGAGCGGGCTGGCACCGGGGGAGCCGGCCGGGGAGACAGGAGGGAAGAAACCCTGCACTGTTCTTGCCCGGAGGCGGAAATGATGTCGGAGGTGAAGCCCGAGTTTGGAGCGTGGTGGTGCTTTTAAAAAGCATTTGCCGATCATTTGGTGCACACCGTCCGTCTTGTGGTGGGATAAATGAGGACTTTGGCACAACACTGAAGTTCGACAGCACCAAAATGGACATGGCTCCAAACGACTTAGATTAGATCAAGGACGACGTCCCTGCCAGGATGGCGGCTCCCTGCGTGCTTGTGAGCAAGTAGAATCGGGTTAGGATGATTCGCTCGAAGAAAGAACAAACTCTAAAGCTACAAAAGAATGAATGGGGATCAAACCCTGACCACTCATTCAATGTATCGGTTTGTTTTATGGAGGAGAGCCCGAGAGTTTTGCTGGCCCGTTCACATCTCAGGCACAATTTTGAAATATACCGCAATTGATTTTCAAGGCACAAATTTGTTCGCGTTTATCTCGCTGTGTTCACGTTTCTTTGTATTTTTTTTTTTTTTTGAGATACAATGAATATGCATGTAGGAGAGGTTGCCACGAAGAAGGATTCCCTCACCATTGCTTGCTTATTAAAAACCAACTACACACAAGATCATTGGAAAAATCACCAAAGTTTTGAGACCATCAACAAATGACTCTAAAAATTTGATCCAATGCGACATTCCAAGCCGTCTTACATTCTTACCTAAACAACACAGAATTGCAAATTGGTACTTAAAATGCCATATCAAAAAGATTTTTTGCTTTACTCTGACACCCGTGAATGATTTTAGTCAGTAGAACCTTTGTGGAAAGGAAATAAATAAAAAGACAGCCAGTGATTTGTACTTTCCCCAAGATATCCCGAAACACATTGAGCATCCTTGTCATCATTTTGCATAATAATTCTGTTCGGCCAAAATGTGAGTTCCACGGTGACCTGTCACGATTGTGCACAATTTAAGATCAACGGCAACTTTCACAAAACGGCGGCGCGGGACCACCGAACGACTTGAAGAAAAGATGCATTTTCATGAAGCGTCACATTTCATCGCCGCTGTGCCTTATCTCTTCATTCGTGCTTGTTACGCATTCAATTCCAAAAGTAACACATTGTATTAGCCGAGCGTCATTTCCTTGAATATTCCTTATGAATTTACAAAGCATGCATTTCATATCTGTCACCATCGCTCATATTTACTTTTTATCTCCACTTGCTCTTTGTTTAAAAAGCTAGAAAACATATGCGATGGCTTTGTCTCACATATACTCACTTTAAATATCCTTTTTTTTTTTTTAATCCAATTGCATGCGGCTTTGCTCTTCTTTAAATATTGTGTAAGCATCTGTACCGATGTTTTATTCATATACTGTGTATGAAAATGCTGTCATCATCTTCTGTACTTTTTATTTACCTTTGTTGTTACTCGACAGTCGATAACGTCCCCCGTCGTGTGCGATGGCTGCTTGCGCAGCGACAGACAGCAGGAGTGAAAGCTGAAACACGAGAAGATGATCATTTGCACTCATTTCAAATAAAATAAAAAAACGTTGCCTTACTCCAATTCGAATTCTTTTCGTGTTGTCTTTCGCGCCAGTGAAACACATTCGTGTGCGGGACTCAAACTCATTCCACGTGGCCTGTTTAAAGCACATGTCTACTTCTTGTTTCTTGCCAAATGGATTTGTTCTTTTCATTTGGGCAGAAAATCAGGACCAAAATTGCTCGTTTTCTTCACTTTAATCACCCAAGCATGTAAATTGGCCAAATCCCCTTTCTCCACATAAATTGGATAATAGTCGTTGGCCGATCCTAAAAATATTCGAGCACTGTTTTTCATGACTTGTGATGTCAAGTTAAATTTGGTTGTCGATAATACACACAATGACGCTCAAATCCAGAGGCAATTCTGTCTAAAGGCTAAATGCGATGAGGTCAATCTACATTCACGGTTTGTAACGGCCCTCCGATAGAAACTACAATCAAAGGTCAAAATGAGTCGCCCACCCCGTGCATGAGAACATAATGAAAGCCACGACATTGTGTGAAATTCGATGCCGACCTTGAACATTGCACACAAATTACAAGCTACAGATTTCAGCCCTTATTTAGAACGTTGTTATTGTCACTACTTATTAAATTCAGGTGATGGCACGTTGAAAGAGGACCCCGCAGCCAGCGCCTGATTGAGACACAAACTATCAAAGTGAAGGCCAGTATTGTTCGGTTCACTCTAAACTAAATAATATTTTAGGAGTCCAAAGATGCAGGGTCAGACAAAGTGCGATTGCAAAAAAAAAATGCATGGAAGAAAGTGTTTACTTGCCAATTAAATAGAACACAGACTATTGGCAAAACGGAATGTCACAAATTCAATGACATGAAAACAATCAAGAACAGAGAGAAAAAACAAAATACTCACAAACAAGAAAACGAGAGCGATGATGAATTGTATCGTGAGGCCTAGAAAAAACGACTTGACGCACAACAGCAAGCGAGGTCAAGAATTCGACAAAGAGAAGCGACCTCGGCTTGAGGAGGAAATGCGGCACAGGTGCGCCTGCTGGAGGGAAACGCCCTCCACTCCAGCTGGAGCTGAAACACAAATCAAGGCAGAACATGACAAATATGAGCCTGGATGAGAAGCTTTTTCGTGGATCAATCATTTTATCAGCCTTCTTACGCAACACATGGCAACTAGAACACACCACTAAAGTCTCTGTCGAGATAATTGCTCATGACTTTATATTGATGATAAACCAAAGCCAACATCAGGTGGAGGTCTGGTGTATATTTTTTGGGGGGTTGTTTTCATGGATGTTTGGATGCATTTTTATGTAAGTGCCGGGTTAAGATTGACTCCTAATTCCTTCTATTTAATCGGCCGGGTAAAGACAAAGCAGGCCATTGAAGGGGAACTGGGGGGGTTTTTTTTAAAAAAAAAAGCGCGCCCTAAAGGGGGGGGTGGGGGGGGGGGGGGAGCAATGAGGGGAGCCCTTCCCCATAGCTGCCTGGCCTGAAGCTTCACCAGGATACAAAGAGACTCTCATACTCCCCCAGCATCGCCCCAACACCCCTCCCGCTCGACCCCACTTGTGCCGTCATCTCATCTGCTGCATTTGCCACCCTTGATGAAAGAAATGTTGGCACCCTAACGAGATTAAAAACTTTCCCAAATCGAGAATGTTTACCAGGGAAAGCACGAGCAGTTAATGTTGACTGTAAAGGCCGATTTGATTAATTAAAGCGGGGAACTGTAAAAGCACAAAAATCTCACCCACCACAATGCACGAGGCAAATGAGGTGCGTCAGAAAATTTCCAGGACTACAAACGAAAATGACAAACTTTGGAGTTTTTTCCCCTGTGCTGCGGGCCAGCCCATCAATCAGCCCGTCGACTAAGATATCGCGTGGGATTGTAGCAGGAGGTTTGTTGCCGTTTCATGGTGACATTGTGACGATGCCCAGCATCCCTCAGTTCCTGGGCGAAAAAATATCATTGTGCTGGAGTAACTTTCTTGCTCACCTGACTTGATGAAGTCCTGGAGAACTTTTCTGACACATCTCATCGATCCGAATGGTTGTGTTTGTTTATCCCTCACCGAAAGACAAAGTAGCCCCGAAAGGCTTCAATCTGACTTGTATGAGCAACTTCGATGTCTGTATTAGATAAAGCAACGTCATACCGTGATTATCAAACCTATTGAGATCGAGATCATTTAAAAATGACACAAGATAGACCAATGAAGCCATTGTGAATTCGGCAAAAAAAAGAAAAATTAAAATTGTCTTTAAGATTAGCTTTCATTGTATCCACCTCCCACCCCCACCCCCCATGCATGTGACCATGCCAGGCTGTCCTCTGCCTCTCAGCGTAGGTTCCACCTCACCCCGTGACTGTAATGAGAACGACCGCGATCGAAAACTGATCAATGCCTTCGCTTCATCTCTGTTGACCCACTTTAGCCACACATAATATTCACGGACACCTGATGATATTGTTGATTCGTTATCAAAAGAGTACTTGTTTGTGCCATGCTTGTACAAACTTTGCAGCGCGCAAGCTGAGACTCCGTCAAAGCGCAGTCATGTTGCTGCTCATGCTAATCACGTTTAGCGGGACCTCAAGCCAAACGACAGCAACAGTCGTACGGTTTGGAGAGCCGCCGTGAGAAACGCCTTCAACCCAAGAACTCATCAGAACGTCAACATCAATGACGAACACCATCGAGCGGGTCGTCCCGTCAGACGACAGTAGCAAATCTTAGGAGACGGACACTCGGTTTATTTGTTGAATTTCATCGTGAGCGGGAAAAGAGGAGCTGTTTGATTTCGGCGTCGAATCAGAAATGGAGCTTATGGCAAACCTGAGTGAAAGGATCGCTCTGCTCTGCACAGTATGAGAAGTACAAGAAATCACATGAGCGCTGAATACGCAACGTTCGTTTTGATAACCGATACTTGACGTATCTGCACGTCGGGTCTCTTAAAATGTCGACTCGTGCGTCTTTTTAGGTTGATAAGACCAAGGTGAACGTTTTAAACTGGTATGGCAGTAAATGCAAAAAGGTGACTTAAAACACTGTCGCGGAGTAAATGTTTTATGAGTGACAATGTGAACCGGGGACAAAGTAATTCACTCTATAAATGGAAAATCTTGCTTGGAAATGACAAGTAGTGGAAGAACTTGGAATACAATTGGCATTAGCAAATGTACTGTGTTGAACTTTGGAGCTTCCGCTGTACTAAGTTTGGCTGGATCGCCAACTTTGCTTTGTTTTTTTTTCCATTTCCTTCAGCCTGAAGTTAGTGTTCTACCAAAAGAATTAAGATCACAAGACATCTTCTTGAGCTGTTTTCGCAGTATTTGTCAGTCCTCTTGTCTATTTTTACATCAGTTCGGCGATGATCAATAAACTGTTGTTGGAGGAGCCCTGGAGTAAATATTAAAACAGCTTTGTGTGCTTAAAAAAATGCATGGGGAATTTTGTTTTTCTGTTCATTAATGAGGTTGAAAAAAAAAAAAAAACGATTGACGCTCCTAAGAAAAACAAACACTTCATTTTGAGCAAGTATAAGAATGAGCAGCAGTGGCTCATTCCTTAAGGAGAGGGCCTGGCAACGGTTGAAAAACAAGTCAGACTGGTTGCTGCCACATTGAGCAAGGCACCCCCACGACTCCACAACTGCTTATGAATGAAAAGGAGCAGCAGGAAAACAAGCTCAGTCAGTTTTCAATACAAACGGGCCCTATTTTTATCGACAATCAACCGTGCCTGCCATAAATACGGCAAGTCTAGTTTAGCTTGTTTCCAAATTTGGTAGAGCACGCTGCGTGTTGCTCGGTGTTCTCAGGTCGATTTCTATTCTACCCTCCTGTCTAAATTTATTAAGAATACCTAAAGCCACGTCTAATTTGTGGCGCCGGAAGATATTTGGGTGTATTTGATGGTGGCGCGGGCAGACAGATTGGGAGCGCCACTTGTGTAGACTTGTGAGGTGGATGTCATCGTATTTCAATCAAAAATGTGCTAATAGCATGGGACAATGCCTCTGGATTATTGTAGAAATCAATTCATTAAAGGACTTGTGGGTGACTACCTCATCCGCAAGGGGAGATCTTGCTGCTACACTTTCTTACACGCTTTACGCTCATCAATGTCATGCACAGAACCCAGCAAGTCAATTTCTGCTTCCGCCCTAATTTTAAAGTAAAATGACGGTCGCCGCTTCAATTGGTCGTGAGTCGGCTCCGTTCCATCCCACATCACAAACGCCCCCTTATGCCCAATTCTACCTGTGCAGTCCAAGAAAAAAAACAACGAAACGTAGAAAACTCCACCCATGCACACGGACTGCGTTTTGCGCTTGACTTGCGCTAGGTGTGAAAATAGGGCCCTTCATATGGAGTTGGAAGGGCACGGGGCAGCACGGTTTACTCGTGGATAATATAGCTGCCTTACAGTTCTAAGCTCAGTCATTCAAAGGCCGGAGCCCAGACTCGAAACCCCTGCCATCAGAACTGCGAGGTACACGTGCGGACTGCTTTTTAATATTCCATTCACCCATCCATTTTCTTCCGCTTATCCGGGGTCGTATCAGCGGGGCAACAGTTTTTCAAAATGGAATGGATTATTGGATCAAAGTAAATGTTTTGTTTTTTTGTGATGACATTTTAAGAGCACAACTACAAGATATCAAACGGAGAAGGACAGTGCCGCGGCTGTTCAGAGATCACTTTCCTACAGACAAAGAAAAAAAAATGTGTGACTGAATGAGCAAATGGAAAGATGACTAATGACAAATGTGGCTCGGCAGCAAAGTAATGGCGTGCAGCGGCGAGATGAAAAGATAAGAAGCAGGATCCTCAGCTGCGGGCGACCTGATGGTGTCCTCACTGGGGTTGGTGCAGCTGATTGTCACATGGCCATGAAAGCAGCCCACAAGTTCCCCTGAGGCACCGTCATCCCCTCTCATCAAAAGACTTCACATATGAAATCATCACAACCGGCATAAACTGGATTCATTGCGAAATCTTTGCAAATTTCCCCATTCTTTGTTGTTTGCCAGCTTTTCTTTTCTTTAGAATTCTACTGACAGCCACACTGTTTGCTCGCACGTCAATAGTTACAGTGGTAGAAGAAGTCTACACACCCGTCATCGAGTATCATGATTTTGTGATGTCAAAAAAAAAAAAAAAAGACACCAAGAAGGCATTTGGAACAAACCAATCACATTGAAACTTCCGTAAAATGGGAGTCGGTGGACGCCGTCACAATTTGAAGTGACTCTGATGCTTGGAAGTTTGTGCTAACACTGACTGTTATTTTGAACGGTTCATAATTCCCTCCACCTTACATACTTGAAGTTAAACAAAAGCAGCCCGTTCATGTTGCTGCCACCACCGTGCTTCACTGTTGCCACGGTGCTGTGTTGTTGTTGATGAGCACTGCGGCATTTTTTTTCAAGCAAGCCAAAAAGTTCAACCGTGGTTTTACCAGACCGAAACACATTTTCCCACTTCGTTTTGGGAGATTTCAAATGAGTTGTTCCGGTTAAAGGCCACATGAACGGAGGAACAAATGGTTGATCTTGAAGGTAGTTCCAAAAACCTTTTGCTATTCCAACAGGGGGTGTGTAGACTTTTCATTCCATCCATAGCATTAATGATATGTATTTTTACTCTCCAAGGACAAATCAAATCAGAGCCCTGGCTCATGACATACACTGACCTAGTTTCTGCCTACAACCTATTTTCCCCAAACAATACAGAGACTGTCTGTCGGCTTCGTGCGTGTGCATGTGTTTTCACGGGAGAGAAAAGTTCTGAGGCAAAAAGCTGCCGTGCAGTTTTCAGCACTCCCTCTGCTGAATGAGTAAAGCCAACTACTGTACACCTCTTTCAACGCCGGGGAGGCCACAATGTCACAAGGGTGATAAATGCATTAAAAAAAACGAAAAGCTTGAAAAGTGAGCATTTCAAAAATGGGCATTGAAATAACAGACATTTGCGACGCGACCGTAGAGCGTGTCTACTTGTTAAATGTCAGATGACAAGATAACGCAGGAAGGTCTTGCAAAAGAAATTTGCTTGTAACTCCTCAAATCCATCTCATGACTATGCCAACAGCTCCGGGCGTGTTTGGGCAACACAAAATGGAAGTTTCTAATCACCGACGAGCATTGCGTTGATATGTGAACGTCTTTCCCTTGTACTGGACTTCATTCTACAGACGTTATGAAGAACCGTAATTTCTTTAAAAAAAAATTATTAGCTCAGTACAAAAGTTGTAAGTACTTTATTCAAACCAATAAAACTTACGTTACAGTCACAACTGCATGAAAAATGACAAATGCAGGCTTTTAATTCTCTAAAATTAAAAAAAAAAAACGTTCATGGTACTTTCCTCCCTTTGAAGAGCTCCGTCAAAATGTGGTTTAAGCAGGAGGTACAATGGGTAGGATTCAATTAAAAGCGGCGAGGATGCTTGTTCGGTACATTGTACCAACAATCGCTTGCTTCATAGAGTGGAGGTAAAAAAAATACAACAGCACCTCCAGTGGACATTTGCTGGGAGAAGGAAGAGTCGCTTGCCCAAGTGACTTAATCATTAATGATGAGCTCATCGCAGCCCCAGTCTTCATAACTTCCATCTGGAAGGTAGCGGCGGATGATGACGGGGATCTTTCCACACCTAGTGGATGAGACAAGGAAGCGGGTGGGGCTGAATGAGTTCCTGGTCCACTTTGTAGCAAACTAGATTTTGTTAGTGGCCCTGCAGTCTTGCTACGCTCCATAATCAGCAATGGGAGGAATCAGTTTGTCTCATTCAAAATTAAAAAGGCCGATTAAAATTTGTCTTTTTTTTTTTTAATTAGCTTTGGACGATGCAAGGGAACACATACACACACTACTTACTTGAGCTCCTTCATGGCAATTTGTAAGGGGTCCGTTTCTCCTTCCAGTTCCACCATGACCGGTGCGCACATCCTGTTAAGTGTGAAATTACGTGACACACAAAACAGAAACATTTCAACTAGTTATCCATCCATTTTCTATCACAAGGTTGCCGGGAAATTGAGTCAGCTGACTTTGATGAGCACTAACCACTTTGACTCACCTTAACACAAAATTTAGAGACATACATTAGTGTAAGATTCACCATTTTGGAAAATGGACTGAAGCAGAGCGGGCATACCCGGAGGAAATTCAGCCAGCATTGAGAGAACATGAAAATTCCATACATAGTGGCTGGAGGTGAAATTTCAACACAGAACAAAAACTTTTGAAGGGCTCCAGCACGCCCGTGACCCTCGTGAGGATAAGCGGCTCAAATAATGGATGGATGGATGCGCATAGCTTCATTCACACAAGTACAATACTGACATTTAAAAAGCACTTTACATTTAAAAAAAAATACTGCAACAAGTTTATAATGTGCTCATTCAACCGAACAAAACGCTTACGCTATTTGGAGGGCTCTAGTTCCCAAAACTCTGGCTCGCTCATATTTTGTCATGTATGATGTTGTTATCCTCTTCTGGTTGGCCTGCTGGCCCTCACCTGCCGGTAGGATCTGAACATTCTCCTGGTCGTCCTGTCCAATAAAGTCAAGAAAAGAAAGTTTCACATATATCGCAGTACAAAGACGGACCCGTGAAGAAATCGGAAGATACAAACTGTGATTACTCACGTCTTCCGCGTTTTCCAAGTCATCTAATCCTTCGTCCTCTTCAGCATCATCAAAATCTCCGTCATCAAAGCTACAAAAATGATAAGGGTCAACAATCAAAACAACAGAAAAGAAGGACAAGTGAACGTTGCAGTCACACTACGAATAAAATGTTGGGGCAGTTATAACGAAGCTGGGCGGCTCGTCCACTTTCCTTCAAATATTCGTTAAACTATGACATAATCGCGTCGAAAGGCAACTTTTCATGTTACTGACTTATCTTCGTTGTCCGACATATCTTGCTGTAGAGTCGCAAATATCCCAAGTTTTATTCTCTTGCTGTCTGTTGTAAACAAGAACACGCACGAGTGTGATGAACGATTCACTTCCGGTTCCTGTGTGCACTGAGAAAGAGGAACGGAACAACAGCGATTACAACTAATGTTCCGTTTGTTTAGTGTTTATCCCTCGACGCCATCAGAAAGAAGGCACGATTAGGAATAAGCGCATTTCTATGCAGATCATCAACATTGCATGTATGCTTATAAACAAAAAAATAAAAATACAATAAAGTAAATTATAATACTACAGCGCATACAATTTTGCATTTCGTAAACACTAGCGCCACCGAGCGGATTTTTCATGTTACGTGAATAGTCAAGTTTGCCGCAAGCTCATTCGTTCTGATAAATGAAACTTCAATGAACTTTTATGTACACGTTTATTATATATTTTTTCTCATATGCAAGTGAATTAAAAAAAATCTGGACATCGTGGAAAATATATATATATTTTTTAAAAAATTCTATCAGTAGTGAAATGCGATTCAAAAAGTGGGGTTTTCTTAGCTGAAAACTATCATCCAAATTATAATGAATAAAATCCCGGTTTCACTCTGTGGTTCATCTAAAAGATGAGTTTCCTTCTTTGAACTGAACTGCAATTTTGTTTACAACATGAGAGTGCACAGAGGTGCATCTGTATCTTTAATAAAACCGTTTGCATTTGAAAAAATATATACATATTGAGTACATGCATATCTTTTAGCCTAATGGCATAATTGCCTCGACGTCAATTTTAACTTGCTGACACAATGTCAATACCAATGTGCCTGTTACACATTTTTTTTAATGTGAATATAGGTTCTCACTCATCCAGTTATGGTAATTCACAAAGGCACCTGGACTCTTTTTGCTTGTTAAATTTGTGGTGTTTTCTTGTGCGGAAAATATTTTAAAGGACTGAGGCAATTTTGCTATTATGCTGACACAAAAAAATGTACTTTTGACTTGTGATACATTCCTAAGTGTGCCACTCAATCTACAGTTGCATAACAGTTTAAGCACACAGTAACGTAAAATGAGGCCAACACTTGATCATGTCCAAGCAGAACTTCATTTGATGTCTTTGAACCTTTCTTCAGTTTTATTCTCCGGCCGTCTCAACAGACATTCAGCTCTTTTTGTCCACAGAGTCTGCACTGCGCTCGCCTTTCCAGTTCATCTTAAAAACCTTTGAGGGCTTGAACTTTCCTTTTGACTTCTTGAGCTCTTTCAAACCTTCTTTCTGGAAGTCTGACAAGAGACCCCCCACCCCAAAAAAAAAAAAAAAAAATTCCACACATCACACTAGTCATCATTTCCAACACAGTATGCAACATCGTTTGACAGTAAAAAATTAATATAATAAACACACCTGTGTTCTTGATCATTCCTTCCGAAAGCGCATCCTCTTCTCGCTCCCTAATTGGGAAAAAGAGTTGCACTATTACTTTTCCAACATGAAAATGCATTTATTATTTATCCTCATTGCACCTCTTCCTGTCTTGATCTAAAATGCTGACGATCTGGTTCCTCTGCTCGATGATGACAAGCAGCTCGGTCATCAGGCTTTGTTCTCGACTTCGATCTTCTTGACTCCAGACGCTCTCTGAACGTGGAAGGGCCACGGCGTGTTACACCAACAAACGGCTCAAAGGTGTTTGCCGTATACAAGTACATAGTGCAGAATTTTCGACACGCATTGGAATTTCATCTCCGGCGCAGCGCAAATCGTTTTGCACCGCATCACATGACAATAAACTCACCTGGTTTATTGAGGAGACGTCGAAGCTCGTACTCCACATCCGCTTGCCTCTCTTCCAACTGTTGCTGCTTAGTCCTGGTCCACGATGCAGTTCAATTTTGGTTTTTATTTGGAATTCTTACGATTTTTTTTCTTTACACACAGTATTGTAAGTGCGGAGACTCGCCTGTAAAGCATTATCATTGTCACAACCCCAAAGGCTACTTACAAATAAACCAGCTCGGTATCTCGTCGCATCAGAAATTGTCTCTTCTGGGTAAGAGCAAGCCATTCGGCCAGCAGACCTTCTTCCTCTTTGTCTGAAATGAAAAAGAAACTATACTATTGGCCTCTGAAGTTTTAAGTAGCACGCATATTTGTTTTGAAACAAAAGGCGCGATGAACCATTGCTGCACTCTCTGATATTCCTCTCCAAGTCAACGCCTCGTTCTTCCAGCGCCTCGAGCTGCTTTGTCACTTGTCTCGTTTCCACCTGCAGATCTGCTGTAGAAATATACTGGTCGGCCTGCACCTGCAAAACAAACAATACCGAGCATTCCTCCTCAAAATCTCCCAACGCACGTAATCCAAACGACTGACTCGTGTGAGCAAACTAAATCATTCTACCATGCTCTCTTCACGCAGCAAGAAAGTTTTAAGTTGTGAATCGGCACCATACCTTCCTTTTGATGAGTGGGAAGCCGTGCCCGGGAGCGGGTGCCCGTCCAGATGTGAGGGCTTGGCATGTTTTGGATTTGGGCATTTCTGCGTTTGCATCGCAATGCTCCTTCTCTTTGTAAATCTGCGAAGATGAAATGTTGAAATGACACTTGCAACCATTCTGTACGGAGGGGATTGTATGTGAACAAAATCTGAGAATTACACAGAGAAAACTGTATTTTTGTATTCAAAACACATCCCTTATTTTTTTTTTTTTTAGACAAAGTAAGTCCACCTTCCGTACCTTACTTGGGGTTGAGCAGGGCGATTTGTTGTCCTCTGTCATGACAAAAGGTAACTTTGTAGATTTGACGGCCGGCACCGAAAGACTTCTTGGCAAAATGGGGCTACGACTGACTTGGTGTGGGACATTGGCAGCTGTTACATCTGAGCCACCAAGTTGACTGCTATGTCCTCCATGAGTGTCTTTGACACGTGGCTCCGTTTTGACTCCATCTTCCTCGTCCAGGTCCTCACCGAAAGGATTGGGGGGAGGGATTCTCGGTCTGTACCAGTATACGCGGCCATTTGGACCACGTTTGGAATGCATGGGGGGTCCTGGGGACTGAACGGGAGGCAGCTGCGTCCAAGGACCGGGATGGATGATTCCGAGCCACGGGTGGTTGGTTTTCACGGGACTTTTCAGGCTTCTGCTGGAACAATTTAAAAGAAAGCGATGACAATCGGTTCCCCCCGTTAAAAGGGAAATAAACAATAAAGCTGAGAGGGTTTTCGTCGCCCTTGCTCATCATCAAGGCCTTTCTATTGTAAGCCACCAATGGGCCAGAAGTCAACAATATGTCAATACATCATGGAAGAATTTCTATTGACGTTCATTTGACAAGATTTGGGGTCGTGCGGTGCAAAGAAACAAACGCAGCCGTTGCCTTACATGTGAGATGAAAAAGGCAAAGGCCGACTTTGAGTGGTCTGTTCGCGTGCCGGCTGCTGACTCTCTCCATGAGTTACTTGTGCAGAAGGAGACGGCAACTGCGGGGGCGCCTCCGTTTTTGTTTCATCCTTTTGCTCGTCACTTTCCACCAGAAACAGCCGCGACTCGTCCTTGCCATTGGTTGTCTCTTTAATGAATGTCACAGAACAGGGATCACGTGATTCAGGAAAAGGAAGATTTACTATTGTCATTAAAAAAAAAAAAAATTGCTCAGGTGTCACTTTTGAAACATGGGTTCAACATCAGATTAGCTGGGTTTGTTTCATGTGAGTTTTTTTTTTTTGGTAGCACGAATTTAAAAAAAAAAAAGGAAACTATTCATCTGTTTGAAAAGGCGAAGACTGAGTTTGAATGGTGGGAGTGCCGGCACAGGAAAAGCGACACTGAACCAGAAGGATCTTTGCTTCCTGCAGACTCCAACCTCAGTGTAAATATTCCAACAGACGTTTGAAGCGGAGTCATTTCAAGAATAGGCACAATAACAACAACAATGGCAAAGTCGTGTTTTGTCTCATACAGCGCGATGACGAATCAATGTGCCTGCCTATTAAGAATGATCTTTATCCATTGATCTGTACACTGCACCCATCTAGTTTGTACTGAAAAAGGCAGAAACATGTAGTTCAATTTTGCATAAGAGACAACCTAGAGAATATATATAATAAAAGCCAACTGTCAAATAAATGTCCATTTCCTTACCTGAGGTGCTACTCACTGTTTGGAAAGGTTGAGTCTCGGCTGCGCAGACAGAGTCTGGCATCTGTTTGGATGCCAGCTGCTCACTTTCTCCAGTGGCTTCTCCGTAGACCGACGGGAACTCCGAGGGCTCCTCGGTTGCGGTCTCCTCCTTGTGCCCGCAGCTCCCTACCAAAACCGATGGCGATGCGTCCTCGCCATCGGTCGTCTCGTCAACGTTTACTGGGAAGGGTTGAGGAGATGGCGGCCTTGACATGTTACTCCGTGTGTCAGATGACTGGCGCCGTGCTGTTTGCTCGTCCTCCAGTGGTTTATAAACCAGTCTGTCACATGACTTTGTTTTCTCAGAGTAGCGAGGGACGCCGAGGAGAGTCAATCTACGAAGAGACAAGCAGTCTTCCCATCCCTCAACGTTCTGAACTGCTAGAATATTTGAACCGTCTGTTATGTGGTCAGAACAGATGAATTGACCGGCGTCTTTTCCGGGAATGAAGAAGCCCGCTGCGAGGGTGCCGTGGCACAATTGGCATCTGAAAGATATCAAGGTTGCATGTCTCGATGTCTTCTAACCCGTAGAAACGCAGCCACTTTAAGAAACGTGAGTCGAGTGGCCTTACCTGAAACAAGTGCGATGCCAGATCTCTCCGCAGATCACAAGTCTTTGAATAAGATGAACAGGTTTGGCGCAAAAGTGACATACGTGATGTCGACTTTTATCAGAACAATGGTCATCTTCGATGGAGGGCAAATAAGCCGGATGCTGGAAAAAAAAAGGAAGCAACATGAACATTTGAGAATACAGAGAGGATGTGTGAATCAAGCGTTTTTGATACATTGGAAGATTTAGTCTTTCATCACCTTGTTTGATGGAGTGATGTGTGATGACCTAGCCGGATGCTGGAAAAAAAAAGGAAGCAACATGAAAATTGGAGAATACAGAGAGGATGTGTGAATCGAGAATCTCTTTCAAGCGTTTTTGATACATCGGAAGATTTAGTCTTTCATCACCTTGTTTGATGGAGTGATGTGTGATGACCTCAAACTGGAAGGACCTGCTGCAAAGTCAAGAGAGAAAATGTAAATGATGAAGAAAGACCACGTGTGAAAAACACGTCTGCGCTCCAGCCCGGTGCTGTCGAAGTTGAACGTGCAGGTTTGGGGATTTGGGGAGGAAGCAATTCGCAGAAGCACAGGGAGGACCTGCAAATTCCACAAAGGAAGGCCGCAGACAATTTGTGCTGCTCCACAGTATTTTTTGTGACTTATAACGAAGCAATAAATGAAGGTAAGCTATGAGAAAGTAGAATAAATTCCACTGTGCTATAAGAAACAAACCGATCGGCCACAAAGTAGCTAAACTACAGAACTTGGAGTTAACGCCCTTTTAGCCACGTCACACTGTGGTTTACTTTGCTTTTAAATAAATGCATAATTCTAATGACGTGGATAGAAAAAGCCCACACGCCCCTGTTTAAATGCCAGGTTTTTGTGATCCAAAAACATTGAGACCATGATAAACCATTTCAAATCTTTTTCCACCATTAATTTAACTTATAAACTTGAACGCATTCATTCTAGTATGCTTTTACCCGGAGGAATAAGTTTCTTTGTCAATAAATGCATAATTCTAATGACGTGGATAGAAAAAAGTCCACACACCCCTGTTTAAACGCCAGGTTTTTGTGATCCAAAAACATTGAGACCATGATAAACCATTTCAAATCTTTTTCCACCATTAATTTAACTTATAAACTTGAACGCATTCATTCTAGTATGCTTTTACCCGGAGGAATAAGTTTCTTTGTCTTGTTTTTTTCATATTACAAAAAAAAAAAAAAAAAAGTGACATTTGAACACCAAACGCCAGGTTTTTGTGATCCAAAAACATTGAGACCATGATAAACCATTTCAAATCTTTTTCCACCATTAATTTGACCAATAAACTTGAACACAATTCATTCTAGTATGCTTTTACCCGGAGGAATAAGTTTATCTTTGTCTTGTTTTTTTCATATTACAAAAAAAAGTGACATTTGAACACGGGTGTACAGTGTGCTTGTTGATTTACTCCCAGCACAATAAAACCGAGGAAGACTTCAAATCAAAACAGAGGGAGACAAAGAGAAGGATATGCTTCCTTACACACACTGTTAGAGAGCCGTCCAAAGTAATGGTAATACTGGGAGAGGTAAGTGATGACACTCAAATAATCAGGCACCTCGGCGGCAAGCATTTCTTTGGGGATCAGGAAAGCGGGGATGCCAAGCTTGGTCTCTGCAACTTCAAAGGCCTGAAAAGAGTTTGTGGAAGGAGACCAAACTTTCTTGAGCCAAGGTACGTTTTATCACAATGTCACCACCAAACAAAAAATGTCACAAAAAGCGAGTGCACGGGTTGATAATGTACTGTTGAACGGATGACAGTTGAACACAGACACATTATTTGTCGTAAATAAATATTTGGGGGACAAATAAAGTCAATCAGATCATTTCCAGTAGAGCACCTGATTATCTCTCGACATACATCACTCCTGAGCAGTATTACATGTTTGTTCAAAGGGACACATGCTTCCAATATGTGCAAATGACTCACCAGTTTGTTGTTTTCATAAACATTAGCCCTTGAGAGGGAACTGAAATGTCTGCATTAAGAAGAACGAGAAAAAAAAAAGAGCAAACTTTAGAGGCTCAATTCAGGAACATGAAAAGTACAGGACAAAAAATGCATAAAAGATTAGAGAGCAAATGAGCTGACTTTATTTTATTGTAACCACAACAACAAACCTGAGTAATCCAATTTACTGTAAAGGGAAGATGTCAAGGAGCGAGATTATGTTGTAGTGAAGAGATTAGGCCCAGTGTAAAATCCAGATTAAACAGCATGCTAGAGCAAATTGGGGTGGTTTTTGTTTTTTTGTGGAACTGCGCACCACGCAGCCCATCTACTCAAATATAGAGAGAGAGAGACAGACTACTCACATGAGATCCGGGCGGTGGCTGTGGATGATGGCACAAAACGCAAGTCCATCTCGGAATGAGGTGGACAAATTGGTGATTTCCACCTGGGGGTAAGTGGTGCATGTTTGGCTGCACCACTTGAGCAAAGCCGCTCTCGATGCCATCGTGTCATGTGTGGCACTGGACCTCATCACATGAGGGCTGGGTCAGCGTGACATACATCAACGGCAACGTGGAGGCAGAAGGGAGCGAGCTCGAGGGCTACATTCAGCACGAGACGTTTCCATATTACACCGACGCTATTAAACAAGGTTGGATGTAGTCACGTTAACGGTGACACGCATTTTCTTAAGAAAAAAAAACGCACGCGAGGAAGTTCACTAAAAGTCGATCTTCCGCGTTAGCTCGAGTTTGTTTAACTTAGGCGGTTGAGATTCCGTTACAGAAGTTGCTTTTTACCACAAACCAAAAGTAAACGTAGAATTGTAGCGCAGTCCCGTGTCTACGTTGCTCGCAGAGGTCCGCAAGTGTGATTTAGGAAAAAAAAATATCCCCTCGGTGGCTGCCCATCCATCTTGCTGTGCGCCACATTCAACATGAAAAGTACAGGACAAAAAATGCATAAAAGATTAGAGAGCAAATGAGCTGACTTTATTTTATTGTAACCACAACAACAAACCTGAGTAATCCAATTTACTGTAAAGGGAAGATGTCAAGGAGTGAGATTATGTTGTAGTGAAGAGATTAGGCCCAGTGTAAAATCCAGATTAAACAGCATGCTAGAGCAAATTGGGGTGTTTTTTTTTTTTTTTTTTTTTGTGGAACTGCGCACCACGCAGCCCATCTACTCAAATATAGAGAGAGAGAGACAGACTACTCACATGAGATCCGGGCGGTGGCTGTGGATGATGGCACAAAACGCAAGTCCATCTCGGAATGAGGTGGACAAATTGGTGATTTCCACCTGGGGGTAAGTGGTGCATGTTTGGCTGCACCACTTGAGCAAAGCCGCTCTCGATGCCATCGTGTCATGTGTGGCACTGGACCTCATCACATGAGGGCTGGGTCAGCGTGACATACATCAACGGCAACGTGGAGGCAAAACGGAGCGAGCTCGAGGGCTACATTCAGCACGAGACGTTTCCATATTACACCGACGCTATTAAACAAGGTTGGATGTAGTCACGTTAACGGTGACACGCATTTTCTTAAGAAAAAAAAACGCACGCGAGGAAGTTCACTAAAAGTCGATCTTCCGCGTTAGCTCGAGTTTGTTTAACTTAGGCGGTCGAGATTCAGTTACAGAAGTTGCTTTTTACCACAAACCAAAAGTAAACGTAGAATTGTAGCGCGGTCTCGTGTCTACGTTGCTCGCAGAGGTCCGCAAGTGTGATTTAGAAAAAAAAAATATCCCCTCGGTGGCTGCCCATCCATCTTGCTGTGCGCCGCATTCGGCGAACTACATAATAGCTGCCACTAGAGAGAGACAAAAACGCTGTCGCAATATTTTTCGAAAGCCAGGTGTCACAAGTTGACTTTGGTCTGTTTTTGCCTACATTTTTATTCCGCTGCCACTAGAGAGAGACAAAAACGCTGTCGCAATATTTTTTCGAAAGCCAGGTGTCACAGGTTGACTTTGGTTTGTTTTTGCCTACATTTTTATTTTTCTTTTCTGTGTTTATTTTGTACGTACCAGGACCAATGAAGAAAAAAAAACAAACAAGGTTGGCAAGATTCTCGTTTTCATCTCAAAATTCAGACTTTATTCTCAGAAGGGACTTCAAAGTCAGAATTCTGACTTTAATGTAAGAACTCTGACATTAAAGCCTTTACAGTTAGGATTCTGGGAACAATGTCAGAAGTCTGAGATAAAAGTGAGAATCTTGTCAACCTTGTTTTTTTTTTTCATTGTCCCTAATCATCTTCCGTATAAACGTTAACCAGTGTTATTCATGTCTTTGTTATTTATTAGTTATCCAATCCAATTCAACACTTAGATGTGAACGGTAGGTACAATTGTTCATGTTGAAGTCTATTTCATCACGTTCTATGCTCTCTCCGCCTCTACGTGCCTTTACGTACCTCGTCACAAGGCAGACGCACAAACGACATAAGGCTCGCTGTGATGGCTGCTCCTCCCGATTCGGAGAGTTTGGAGTCCCGCATCAGTGAGTATTTGTGCTTCAATAAACAGGCTTTATTGTTGGATGGTCCCAGGAGATACCTAATATGTTATTTGCATGCAAAGTGCGAATTGTCAATGTTGCTTAAGTAAGCAGCGAAGGCGGAAAGCGGTTCGGTGACAACAGAGGATGCTAACCTAGCTTCACTGCTACCTGTACCTGGCGGCTGTCAACACAGCATAAAGTGGCGTACTTTTAGCTTTATGGCACGATTGATTGAGCGTTGTGCTACGCGACAGGACATCGGGAGTCGCGGTTGCAATAATGCGATTTACTTTGAGTCTATTAATGCTGTTGATCCGTCAGAAAGTTCTGGAATTGACCGATCATATCCTCAAGACCACACCGTCAAAGCTAGCGAACGTGACGTTCAGTGTGACTTCCGACTCCCTGCGTTAAAAAGCGAAAACCTAAATCAATGCTGTGCAATCTTGATTTAGCCAAGCTCATATTTTACATAAGGAGAAGGAAAAAAAAAAAACAGACGACACACCGTAACTCTAAACGTCACGTACCCCAAAAAATAAATAAATAAATAAAATCGGACTCACAGGTCATATGTGCACTTTCTGCCATCTAGTGGAAGAGCATTTAATTATTTTGCCATTGATTTTAAAACCCAGGTGCTGGATGAGACATTTGTGGAATTTTGAATGAAATCATTGAGCAATAACATGGAATCTTATCAAGAATAGCATAATTTTTGAAAGTATACCATTGCTGTGGAGCGAGGACTCTGGTCAAGTGGTACAGCGATGTGTCCTATAGGTGGTGACTCTCCGAGCTGCATGGTAGAGCAGCAATATACGTCGCTGGAATAGATGGCTGAACAAAGACATATTACTTACAGTAAATACCTTTCTCACCACTTAAATGCCATTGGATTTTTTTATTTATTTATTTTTTTGCAGCGCGCCTTATGATTTCTTGACTTTAATTAGGGCTGCACGATATTTGAAAAACATGCGAAATGCAATATGGGTGTTCAATAGCTGCAATATCAGTATTGTCACGATAGTTAAGATTATCTAATATTTTCATGCTGAAAAATAAGTACACTGTTGCGATGACTTTTTTTTTTTCCGATATACGGTGCAGCACAAATTCGAATGATCCAATTTTCCACATTTACTGGCTGTCACATGAGACTGTGGATCAATAAAGTGACTGGAGAAACACCTCGAAACCTCGCATTATTGGGCCTGATGGTTAAACAAATCATTAACTCGAGACGTGTCGCACAAAGTTGCAGCGACTCGACAGAGTTGTATCTTGAATCTTTTGTTCTCCGATTGTGACAGCAGTGTGGACTTCTAATGGAGTACAATGAACCATTTCACCCACCGCTTCTGTTTTGTGACTGTTGAATGTTTCAGATAGAGCAACCAACCCACTGAATAGGGAAACCGACTGGAGCAGCATCAATGCGTTCTGTGAACAGCTCAACAATGATTTGGAGGGGTGAGAGGACATTGTTACTGCATCAGAACGGGTTACATTTTACAGTCGCAGTCTGAAAAGAGCCAATTAAAACCCCAAACTGATCGCGACGGTTCAAAGTCCAACGGCACGTTTTGTCAGACCACAAAGGGCAGCAGGATTTTGTGATGTCATTGTTATTCAGCCTTTGCTTTTGTGTTGCGTTGCAGACCTCAGCTGGCCACCAGGCTGTTGGCCCACAAGATCCAATCTCCGCAAGAGTGGGAGGCCATGCAGGCTCTCGTGGTAGACTCCCATTTCTAACAGTTTTTGTCAAAAATATTTTAGACATGATTGGTGCGCCTGGTTTCTAGCAGCCTCTTTTAGAATATCCTACAAAACACGTTTGTGTAGAGCACAAGAGGGTGGGAAAAGAGAGTACAGTACCATACGAGGTGTTATGGCAATGCCAGTCTTTGCCATCGACTGGATCCGGTTTATCTAGCTCTCCGTTTCTGATGCGGCAGCTTGATCTGCTTGTTTTACAAGCTGACTCTGCTTATAATCTTTGGCTACACTGCAGGCCCAAGTGCCCAAATCTGGTTTTATACAACACATGTACAGTAATTGGAACCGTCACATTGTCATTTCTGCATTCACAAATTCATATATTGGTGGATTATTTATTTTTGGGGGAGGGACCCTAACCCCTTTTATTATTTAATTCTTCAGCTTGAGATTTGTTCTAAAGCGTGTGCTTCTTCAATAGGTACTGGAGTCGTGTATGAAAAACTGCGGGAAACGGTTTCATAATGAAGTGGGCAAGTTCCGCTTTCTTAATGAGCTCATCAAAGTGGTTTCGCCAAAGGTAGGATACATTCTGGAGGGTCTCCCCCGTGCGCTTTGCCGCACAGTTTCAACCCCACACAGCACGTGTGATGTGAGCCGTGTATGTGTTCTTGTCCTCACACAGTACCTGGGTTCACGCTCACCAGAGCCAGTGAAGAAGAAGGTCTTGGAGTTGATCTACAGCTGGACGTTGGGCTTGCCCGATGAGGTCAAAATCGTAGACGCCTATCAGATGCTAAAGAAACAAGGTATGAGGCGTATGCAAAGCCTCGACGACTCTGACATTTCTGCATACTCGTCGGACAAATACATCTCAAAATAGCTTTTCCACAGAGGCTTGCCACAACTGAATACAAACTAAAAAAAATTCATCAGCGCCATAATTAAGGCTGCCAAGTAAATCACTGAATCATTTTTTTCTTTGTTTGCAGGTATTATTAAACAAGATCCAGAACTGCCCCCCGATAAACTACCCCATCTTCCCCCACCCAGACCTAAAAATGCCATTTTTGAAGATGAAGAAAAGTCTAAAGTAAGAAGCCTTTCACCAGTTTATGGCCACAATGGGGCTTTTTCGGCATGCCAATGATGTCCGTCGCCCACTGCCATGAGTGCTCTCGCCTCCATTTGCGCCTCCCTTGAATGCTCTTCTTGGCTTTTACAGATGTTGTCTCGCCTGCTGAACAGCTCGCATCCCGAAGACCTGAAGGCCGCCAACAAACTCATCAAGGAAATGGTCCAAGAGGTAACCCAAAAGACAAAACCAGCGGTGGCGATCTGTTCCATTCATTGAATTACCAATGACACAAAAAAGGTTTACTCACACCGTTGACGCCTTTTGCGAAGTCACTTCTCATTTGTGGTTAGGATCAGAAGCGAGCAGAGAAGGTGACCAAGCGGGTGGGTGCCATCCAGGAGGTGAAGGAGAGCATCGCTTTGCTGACTCAGCTCCTGCAGGACTACGACGCCAACACCACAAATCAGAACAACACTGAGCTCATACAGGTCATGTCACGTTCATCTTTTTTTTTTTTTTTTTTTAATTTGAAACACAATTTTCATCACAGGCTTGCGTTGTGTTCACAGGACCTTTACCAGCGCTGCGAAAAAATGAGACCCACACTGTTCAGATTGGCAAGTGATACGGAGGATAACGATGAGGCTTTAGGTGAGCGTCGACTGTTTCACGGAATTAGCATCGATGGCCACAATAAGAAACTGCTACTTTACACACATGGAGCATCAACACATATAATCAGCGTACAACAATACCAAGAGGGATGTATTGTTTGTGCTATTAGGGAACAATTAATACTGTCTGCCATAGTCTTTGGGCATTTTTTCTTCCACTGGCTTCTTAAAAAGCTCAATTGATTGCACGTGAAAAGAAAAGAAAAAGACATCATCGGGCCTGAATAGCGACAGTATCAGCTGCATCTCTCAATGCGTCGAGTCGCTTTCCCGCGAGTGGCTGCTAAGATATTAGATTACCTCAAACGTGCAGTTGAACAGCAGCTGGAAAGGTGCTTTCAGATCAGACCCTCGAAACCACTGCGTACACATTGGATTGTCCCCCCCGGTACAAAGAAAGCCTGTTGTGGACCTAAAAGGACAGAAGCCACAAAGCTGCTCACTCGGCTGCAATCCGCAGCTTTTGTGCTCCTTTATCGACACAATGCCGACTATAAAGAGACATCTTCCCTTGGCTTTCCACAGCGGAGATCCTGCAGGCCAATGACAGCTTGACCCATGTCATCAATTTGTACAAGCAGCGGGTGAAAGGGGAGATTGTGAACAGCAACAATGCATTAAATGCACAAAAACAGACAGGTTGGTAAAACGCTGCTCGGCGGTTGCTCGTGAGCACGCGCGTTTCGGATTTTGTTTTTGTCCTCAACTGGCCTTTTGACTCAGGAGTGGGGACAGCACTGCTGGATCTGTCTGGGTTGGACACGTCGCCCCAGTCGCCCCCCTCCTTCCCAGAACTCCCGACTCCAACCGACAGCCTCAACGCAACCTCGCAGGAAACTGGCCTCTCCCTACTTGATGATGAGCTCATGTCACTCGGTAATCTCACATCTAATTAAAATTTAAAAAAAAAAAAAAAAAATTGGTCTTACACCGGTACACTTTTTGGTTACTGGTTGCAGTGGTCCGCCCAACCAGCGGTAAAATTGGTCGCACCGAAATTTTGGAGCGCATCCCTTTCACAGAGCTGCCAATGTGCAGAAATTCACTCCCTAAACAATTCATTTTGCATTTTCCTAATTTTAAAATTCTGTCCATAACATTACAGCAGTACCGCGCGCGGCATTGTTTAACTGTGTTTGTATATTTAAATATCAATGCTTCTAAGAATAATTGAAAATTATTTTCTTCGCTTTGAGATGTCAACGATTGCAAACGGTCATTTTCATGTGAAAACATTCTCAAGGACCAAAAAAAAAAAAAAGTTTAAAATGATCACTCACCTTTCAGAGTGGAGGAGATTTCGGCTAGTTGTATGTGTCCAACCTACAAGTTGGTTTCAGTCGTCACATCGTAATGTTTGGGCGCACCATCGAGCCCTGGCATTGAGGTGAAGCACTCAAACTTATTTTGTGGTCTTGTCCCACGCAGGTTTAAGTGAAGGAACACACACTTCCAACCCTCCCTCCCAGCCAGAGGACTCCACAGCCTGGGACTCCTTCCAGGTGCGTGGCGGGGACTTGATGGAACAATCCATGCATGTCATGATTTTTTTTTCCCAGCTTGTTCGTTTCCAATACTTTGCCTTTTGTTTTTTTTTCCCTTTTTCTTGTATTTATCTCAATGCCTCCTTCAAGTCATCCGACAGTATCGATGCAGACACCCCGGCAGCACCCACTCTGCTCCTGAGTCCGGAACCTTCTTCCCACTCGCACCCCGTCTCTCCTGCATCCGCTCCCAAAGGCTCAGTCCTGGACGAGCTCGACTTATTAGGAAAGACGCTGCTGCAGCAATCCCTCCCTCCCGAGGGCCTGCAGGTCAAATGGTACAGTTCTTCCTGAGTTTCTATGCCTCAGCTGTTCTATTGTATGATTTTTTTTTTTTTAATTAAATGTTCTGGGAAGCGCTTCGTTACCGCTGCAGCTGTTGTGAAAGCGCTATATACATAAAGAGGGATTAAAGCAGCGGTTCTCCACTAACCTCACGTGTGAGAAAATCTCTTGACTCTGTCGGGCACTCGAACTGTCTGCGAAGTCCCATCGTCGTAGTCGTCGTGAGGTTAATCGGGTCTTTGTGTCTGCATGTAGGGACAAACAGCAGGTCAAACCAACTTTGAGAGATCTACAGAGCAAGTCGGGGTCTAATCTTACCCCCAACTCCATCCCGGTCTTCAGCTCAGACCGCCCCGCATTCCCCCTCGCCTCTGAGGTCACCAGCGTTGAGAATCCATCTGCTGAGGTCTCCCTTGCTGATGTCTTTGTGCCTCTAGAATCCATTAAACCCAGTGAGTAGACTCCGATATAATTCAATTTGTCCTACGTGAACTCAAGCTTCTCTCCCGCCGTCGTAACATGAACTTTGCCTACCAGGTAGCCTGCTGCCTGTGACCGTCTTCGATGGACACAGCCTGCGGGTTCTCCTCCACTTTGCCCGTGATTCGCCGCCGTCTCGCCCCGACGTGCAGGTGGTGATCATCTCCATGCTGTCCTCGGCTCCCCTGCCCGTCACAAACATCAATTTGCACATCTCTGCTCGTAAGGTCAGTGAGGGCATTTTTTTTTTCTCCTTCCCTTCACTTCGTCAATGAGTTGGTGTCAAGTTATCCTACGTATCGCCTGCAGCCAATGGCAGTGAAATTGCAGCCGCCATCTGGAACGGATCTGCCAGCGTTCAATCCCATCCTTCCCACTGCTGCTGTCACACAGATCATGCTCCTGGCGAACCCAGACAAAGTATTCCCCAAGCGGTACACAGTTGCGCTCTCGCCGTGAATCCGCCCTTTACGCCTTTTTTGTTTTTCTGCTGTAGGAGAAAGTTCAACTGCGGTACAAGCTGAGTTTCACTTTGGGCGAGCAGGTGCACAACGAGAGTGGCAGTCTTGAAAACTGGCCTGCCCCGGACACGTGGGGGAATCTATAGCGGCGAAATCCAACCCGACAGACTCTTGTCCACCAAACACGACTCTGCATTAACACTCCATACTTGCTCTGATTGTTTTCATTTTTTGTTTTGTTCTTCTTTTTTTTTTTCCAAGCTTTGACTCCTGCTCTTGCTGCGTGTTTGTGCTTTGCTTTGCTTTAATTGACTGCTTCTAAACCCCGCCTGTATTTTATTTCCCCATTATTTTGAAGACTGTGCTACCAACGAAGAGTTGTCATTCACTACTGCATGTGCATATCTGCTTCAGGTCGTCGGCCTTGAGCAGAACATTTGACTTTGTAGATTTTGACCTTCACCTCTGCATGCTCTGCCATCACGACGTGTCAAGACAGAAAGGACTTAATCATTACCTCTTCATAGTTTGTCAAACCAAAAACTGCTGAATCTTTTTTTTTTTTTTTTTGGGTCTCGTCAATCGGGACTTTCCTTTTTTGTCATGAAGAAAAAGTACTGTGACATTGTGTGTTTTCTGCCATATGTGCCTCTTTCTCAGTTCAGTTTGACTTTTAGCACATTTGTTCTGTAATACATTAGTTAATTCAACAAGTGCAGTGAATCATTATTATATTTTAATGTACATTCATGAGGGGGGGTTTTTTCCCCTTTTTTTCCCCAATCATGACAAACCATGGCTCTTGATATATCACCATTACATGAGTAAAGTAACTTTGAAAATGCATGAAATGGTTTACCAACGAAATGGCGATCCGGAGCTTGGTGTCCATCTAAGACAGGGGTCTCAAACTCAGTTCCTGGAGGGCCGCTGTCCTGCATGTCTCCCTGTTGCAACACACCTGATTCAAATGAACAGGTTCAATGTCAGGCTTCCGCAGAACTTGCTGATGATCTGATCATTTGAATCAGGTGTGTTGCAACAGGGAGACTTGGAAAACATGCAGGACAGCGGCCCTCCAGGAATTGAGTTTGAGACGCCTGATCTAAGACATCTTGAGTTGAGCGCTACAGTCCAAGACCTACCTTACATTCCTCTGCTCCCTCCTTAGCGCGACTATTTTGTAAATACCGATGTACATTTGACCTGTGCAAAAGCATAAACACTGCTAAGATATGAAGAAATAAAGGTTTTGGTTGAGGGCGGGGACTAATTTAAAGACAAGTGTAAATTTTGTGTTCTTGACACTCAGCTATTATAAGTGACATACCAGATTTGTTTGGGGCCTGTCAGGCTTCAAAATTGAGAACTGGTTATAATCACTAAATTGTAAGAACATTGGGCCACACTACTATGTGTATTTTTTTTAAAAGAAAAAAAGTTAATAAAAGTACTGTCACAGAATGTAAAATAGTGCATCATGACGGGTATCATTGTAATGCCTTCGGTTGTATGCAACTTGGCCACGGGGGTCGGGGTGGGGGGCAGTATAATGGTGTCAAACTCAGGTCCTGGAGAGCCAATGTCCTGCATGTTATCCAACTTTCCCTGTTGCAACACAACTGATTCAAACAAACAATATCAGGCTTCCGCAGAACTTGCTGATGATCTGATCTTTTGAATCAGGTGTGTTGCAACAGGGAAAGTTGGATAACATGCAGGACAGCGGCCCTCCAGGACCTCAATTTGATAAAGCGGTTCAGATAATGGATGGACACAAGAAGACTGACAACTACAGTCGAACCTCGTTACAACGTACCTCGAGGGGACATAACCCGTATAAACAAGTCAATTACAAACACGTGTATATGAAGAAAATATTTTATAAGGCATGAAACAAACAACCGTGGCGTTCTTACTTCATCTCTTACGTGCAGTCAGCAAATGTCACCCTCCTTAGGCAACTGCCAGTGCCGCCGACGTCTGGGAGACTTCCTTCCGAAAGTGACAGACAATTTCAGCCTCCACGGACAGCGGGATTTGCTTCTGCTTACCAGACATGTTTTCAGACCATGTGCTCAGGACGGCGCCCCGCCTCCGGAAGTACAACAACGTACGAGTCGATCTGTCTTGTTGCTTTGCGAAGGAACCCTCGCGATAGTTGAGTTCGCGACCCCGCGATCTTGACCCCCGCTGTTTAGTCGATCAGTCGTGTTGCTTTGCAACTGAGGGGAATCCCGCGCTGTACTTCATTCCCAAAGTGTTCAATCGCATCCATTTTGAAATTCTTTAATAAAATGGATAATTAAACCAAGGGCCAACAACTAAAGGCTCCAAACATTTCAAATTCTATCAATAATAATCTGCTGAATGCCCAAAATATTTTAGAGAAAATATGACATTATACATGTGAACGTATCGACCTCTTTATTCTTGACACATAATTTGTACACAACAATTTAGAATTTTGACTTTGACCTTTTTTGCAATTCACAAAATTAGTCGTAATCCAATCGGTAAACACGGTCCCATGTTAAATTGCCACTATTTGGATCATGTTTTCAAAATCACTTAATGTGCCATTTAAGGTCATGGAACTGCCCGCGCTCCGATCCTCAGAAGTATCTTGTGGGGTCGCTCCTGTCGCACAACTGCACATGCACATGCGAGGTGATTCCCGGGTAGACACTCTGCATGGGCATCAGGATGCCCAGACGCTGGCCCTTGCTCACTTGTCCTGAAGTCTTGTCCGGGTCCACATAGAAGAGCATGACGCAAAGATCTGCATGGAGGAGATGAGTGAAATTTGGGTGTACGTTTCCCACCTCTGTTGAATGTGTGGATGAGAGTGCAATGCTGACCTTCGCCCTGGATTTCAAGACCTTTGTTGATGGCCGCCTTCGTGGAGTCGGTGTACACAGTGAGTCCCCTATTGATAGTGAGATCAAATGGAGCGTAGACCTCCGAACCGTCCTCACAAGTGATGTCCAAACCTTGGTGAGGCCTCCCCGAACTGGAAGACAACGCACACACACTCACACACGTCAACAATTCAACTCACATCCACCCGAATCGTCAGGTCCAAGCACCTTACCGTGGTGCCCCGTAGTGGCCTTGACCAAAAATGTCTGATGTTCTCTGGGTGTTGAAGGGATTCCCCTGGCATAGCTGGCCAAAGGTCACCCCCTCACACACATATACCAGGGCTACACACAACCATGGGGAGATATACACACACACACACACACACACACACACACACACACACACACACACACACACACACACACACACACACACAAGGTTAGTACGTGACCAGGCAGACGAAGGTTTTGAGGAGCAATTGGTAAAGTTCTCACCCAGCAGAGCTGCGAACAGAGCCACGTTCTTCATCATCTTCACCACAACGACTCCACCTGGGCCTCAAGTCAGCTTTTATCTGCATCATGACAACGCTAAGTGGGACAGCCCGGCCCTCGTTGTAACATTACCAAAATTCCAGCTTGGCGGCGAGTTGTTCAGTCAACAAATGGCACGCTATGCCCATGACACTCGACCAGCTTTGTTGGGAAATTTTATTTTTGCATATTGGGCCGCATATGGAGTGTCAAAGTTCTTGTTGAGCAAGACTGGAAAGTCTTATCAGTTATCGCGTGGAGAAAAAAAAAACGTGATGGCAGCCAAGAGAATAAAGGTGATAAGGTTTCAGAAACAAAAAATTGTTTTCTCCACTTTCTTGCTTTGTGTCAAGGCCCAATTTGTGAACATTGAAGACATTGATGATGCTCAAGTATGATCGGCTCTTGGTTTGGTTCTGAATGCGGAGATAGAATTCAGCTGCTGCTCAGTGGAGATGTGGATCTTCGAGTGGGATGCAAGGCTGTGGGCCACCCCAGAGCTATGAAAAAAAAATCCTAAACTATTCACCTCCTCACTTTTAACAGAAAGCCCCGACATAGCAATTTTTGATCAGTAAAAAGGGGCTTCTGGTTGCCATCTGACGAGTGGCCTGTCCTCAGGCTGAAAGAGGACATTTGTTGTGTAATCGGGTGTTTAAGTGTGTCTTTGCAGAATGATGCTAATGCCTGACCATTTTTTTTCTTAGGTTACATGATAAAATACGATTTCCACACAGTGTGACACAACTAAGAGCTTTAATTAGTGTCAAAAACAAGGAAGGATAAACATCACTGCTACAAAAGTTTGACCACACAGTCAATTCTTGAAACTTCTCAGAGATAAAAAAAAAAAAAAAACACAGTCTTAACATGCTAAATGAAACACTACAAAGTAATCTGCCAATTCTTCTGTGATTTCTTTTTTTTTTTTAAGCATCAATTTTCTAGCCAACTAAATCTCCTCAGTGCCGTCTGCGCCTACTTTGTATTCATGATCACAGAAAACATTTTGGAATCAACACATCGGTCAAAAACTACTCATTCCTACAATTTAAATACAGTCATCTGACATGTGAGAAGAGTACAATGCTTAGTCCATGTATATTGTACAAAATAGACTTGGATAACGCCCTCCGCGCCACAAGATAAGTTGGAAGTCCAGATGAAGCCTCGCGACTCACTTCAAATTGTTTCCTTGGTACCAAGACATAACCATAAAGCAAAACTGTTAACGTGAATAGGTCAGTTTTTCATAAAGATGCCTTTCCTACGTCTGCCAACATATTTCTTCTTACCAAGTTTTGTTTACGAGTATTTCACTTGCTTCAAGCATTTTTTTTCTTCCATAGAATTCTTAGCGTGTCACCGGTTATGAAAAGTTTATCTAAAAATGAGGAATGCCACAAAGGCCACATGTGTTAGGACATGGGTGAAGTTTTCAGAAGTTTACTGTTTACTTGTTCAAATAAATCTTGCCAAGACAAGTTTTCCTGTTCTAATGGCAGATAATTTTGCCTATTTAAAAAAATAACAAAAAAAAAAAACAAAAACAAAACCGCATTGCTTTGTTTTTCAAGCCAAGTTTTGCAGAGCGGACCTGTTGGGTCTCCTTGTACCCAATTAAATCAGCAGGTTAAGTGGCCGGCTCATGATCATGTGTGAGTGGGTGTGGTCTAATTCCTACCAGGCGCAGGTGGTGGAGGCGGAGGCTGAGGAAACTGGAAGGTCGAGTGCCCCATCAGGCCGACCGCGGGCTGTGGGGGGTCGAACTGCTGGGCCATTAGAGGCTGGGGGCCTGACGAGGGGAGTGGGACCGGCACCGCTTCACCTCCCACGGCTGAGGAGCCCCCCCTGGGACCGCTGTACTGGCTCGTACTACTACTGCTGCTGTTACTACTGCCCTTTTGGTATGAGCTGGAGTTGGAACCATAGCTGTGACCTCCATTCCTGCTGCCGCGATCCCTGTAAGACGAGGAAGAGGACGACGAGGAGAGGCGGTCTCCATCCCGGCTGCTCGAGCCTCGACTGTCACGGGCGTCACGGGAATCACGGCCGTCACGTGTGTCACGGCTGCTGCTGCTGCTCCCGCGGCCATCTTTGGCACTACTGCCGCCGCCGCTGCCGCCGCCAACTGAGCGCATTCGCCGGTCACACTCGTCTTGGTACATCAGGTTGGGATTGTTGGAAGTCGAGCTGCCTCGGAAGCGGGGGCGGCCACCTCGGAGAAGGAAGGAATATTGCCGTTATTACGCCGGTTATGGTGACAGCCTACTTTGACCCCCTCCAGAAAATATTCCAAGAGAGAAAACGTCCCTCACCTCCACCTCCTCCGCGTCCGGTGTCCACCAGCTGCAGCAGTTTGGGATTGATGGCCTGTCTGGCCTCCTCCAGAACCCGGATCAGATCACGAGCTTGGCGGAGGTTACCCGGGGTAAAGAAAGTGTACGCGGTGCCTTTGTTGTTGCTGCGGGCCGTGCGTCCGATCCGGTGGATGTAGTCTTCCGAGGAATTGGGGTAGTCATAGTTGATGACAAACTTGACATCCTCCACGTCTTTTGGTCACTCAAGAGGAGTCAGAAGGAGTTGAATGGGGTCAGTGCGATGGGACAAGTTAGGGGAGGGGGAAAACAAAAATACTAGTCAGAACAAAATAATTGCATTGAACATTACAAGTTTCATGCTTTTCACAAAGTCCCACGCAATTGGATGCACTTACCTCTCCATTTTTGTACAACATACAATTTGTATGTGACAATACTTACCGCGAGTCAGGACTCGGACAAATATATGGAAACACAAATATAGCAGTTTGTTTCATGACAGCCTTGTTGAAGCTGTATAATTTGGATTAGCATACGGCGTGCCACTTCAGAGATTCCCAAACCAGGATGTCGTCATTATGAGTCAGGCATTTTACATCGAAAAAACATAAAGAGAAAGCCCTCCACAAATTCAGCGGTGAAATCGATTATAGCGCAATCCCGCTCAGTGTAGAAGTGGCATAATCACCTTGGCAGAGGTCAAATTGATTTAAAACTGATCACAGTTCCGACAAGAATTACAATTGCAGCGGGGAGTCATTCGAGGTCAGTTACTAATTAAAGATGACAAAGGGCTCAGAAGAACAATCCCAGGAAGCATCACGATGAAGGCTGGATGGAGGAGGGGGGAAAAGAGGAAGAGGGGAGGCGGTACTTACTTACCCTAGGCTGTATCAGAGATAAAGTCATTACATTATCACAGGATAGATGACTACCCCCAACCCAAAATCTCTCACCGGTCGTGGGAGGTCAGCAAACAAAGGAGAACGCGCATGTCCCACATTCTCTCGTTGCTTGTCACATCGCCCTTCCTCTAACAATTTAGACAACTTGGACACCTGCATTATAACATTTTGGCCTCTGTAATGTCGCCTGAGCCAGGTTGGCCGGAGGGATCGCTTCTGGATAATCGCAAAGAGCGCACTGCCTGGTGTTAACGGTCTGGAAAAGGTCGTGATGGTCTTTGGGGATGTTTGATTGGCGTGCTGTGTCCCGATTCCCTCCAACGCCACTTTTACCGAGTCTGCTATCCCCGAGCAAAAGTACCAAGAAACAGACTTTAGGGCACGGGTGTCAAACTCACGCCTGCGGGCCAGATACGGCCCGTCGCGTCACTTATTGGACTTCTTTTCAAAACGAGGTATAAAAAAAAAAAAACGCTGATAACCAAATCCAGGGGCAATAGTGTGATATGATGTGATGAGCATTAGGAGACCTACCAGGGACGTACTAGGACTAAAATTCGGTTTGGGAATATTCTTCAACGACCGGACGTCACGCGCCTAAACGTAACAGACGACGATAGGGGTAGGGGGGGAATGTAGGGAGGTTGTACGTTGTCGCGTCCAGCATTCGCAGGTGACTTGTGGACAAGTGGGACTTGTCAGCACGAGTCCGGCTTGATGGGATACGAAGAATGGTTACACAATTGTAGGAGGACGAGAAATGACAGCGGTGGAGCTCAAGTGAGCATCTGAAAATGAACGAAAGCAGACAGCAGAGACACTAAACAGGGAGAAGAAGAAGTGTGGACGAAGACAAGAAGCGGAACTGATGTGTGGAAGAGGAAGAAGGGGGACGAACAATTACAGAGAGGTGACTCCTCCAGGCCAGGACTCCTGCCAGCCAGGACCAGACATGACGTCCGCAGAGGGAGAGGCCGGCC